AATTTTTATAGTTTTGAAAGTGCTGAACTAAAAAGGTCAGTAGAAGTTATTCTGATTCTTAGTAATGATGTTAAACCACTAATCCCCCCCCCCCCCCCCCCCCCCCAAAAATAAATAAAAAATAAATATAAACCCCAACAACTTCCCTTGCTATTAACTTTTCCCACAGAACAAATCAGTTAGCTGGTTTCTCCCCATGGGAAAAATAACTAGGGAATAGGGAAAAGAAGCAGATATAGCCAACTTCTCCCCCGGGGATTACAGTTATTGGTTAGCTGATTCTTACCCTGGTGAGATTCTTACAGATGGGGAAAGATTTGACTAGAACAGAACACTGGTCGGTATATCAGGTTGTTTGTGTGTATACAGTTACCTTAAGAAGGAAGATTGTTATTTACTGCTTTTCTATGTAATGTTTCATCTATTTCAGCCGCTGGGTCAAATATTATTTGATGCTATTTCTATCAGCCGTGCTTGAACCGTAAGATGAACGTTGCTCTTCAATCATTCAATATTGAGGGGAAGCTGTCAGGGGAAACTTAATTTTACTCTCTTATGATCTGATGAGATTCCACCATGAGCAGAATGGTGGTCTTTAATTTAATAAGAAGGGGAAGGTGTAAAATTATGGTTCATTTTATGATGTTATGCTCCATAAGAGTTTTTACATGCAAGTATACGTAGCCTGAGTGAGAGCGTGCTTCGATTAAAATGATAGGCCCCAGCCAGACAAGTCCGAAGAGTGTAGTTACGTAGTTACGGTATTGTAACGATGCCATAATGTTGTCTGGGATTTAACCCTAACCTTTATTTCAAAAATTTACATCTGCCTTGGGACAGTGAGTCTGGATACAGAAATCTTAAATTACCTCATATAATGCTGAACTCTATATATAATATACATATGAGTACTTAACAGAATATATGAAAATGAAGGCTTATAACTTAGAATAGGTTGTGTGTTATAAACTTATAATTCCTCATTCTTTTCATATGTTAAAAAACATTATATTGAAAATTCAAGGTTTTTGACATTCAACCTATATTTAGTAACAATTTTAAAACAAGTTTTTTCAACTTTGTGATATTAATCCCTCTTGTTGTCCCTGATGTTTGCTCGCTGGGGTCCTAAAGTGAGAGGAAACTGGAGTACCTAGAGAAAACCCATGTGGTCCAGCAGCTAACCCCATAACGTTTCAAGAGCGATCAGGGAATGGAACCCTGACCGCCTTGGTGAAAGGCGAGTACGTTATCCACTGCCCAACCTGACCGATAAGATTCAGCTTCCCAACTCTTGTGTAGATAGCTACCAGGGCCACCATGATTTGCTCCTCAATATTCTTCGTCACTTTCATCTTCAATCTTTGAATCAGCGGCGTAGTTAACTGCCAGATATCATCTTGTCTGCACTGTCTTACTTATTTTTTGAATTTTTTGAATATGGCTTCTTTTGGCCACCGGAGTTAAAAATTGCCTGCCCCGCATGTCCAGAGTTTTTAAGTGAATGTGTCAGGTTCTCTTAGGATAAGCTTATTACATTTAAACAGTTTACTGTATGGTAATAAGGTTTGTCAGTAGGCCTCTTCGTTAACTCACCTGGCAGATGTACCTGTGTCAAAGCTTATATGATAATGGCATCCAGGATTGAAAGAATCACAAAGTCTAGTGTAGCTTTCCAATTCTGTGGTTATCAAGTTTGTTTGTTTATATGACCTTGATCAAGTTTCAAGGTCACAGGGGTGAACAGTGTAAAAAAGCATTGTACAACTTCTCATGTACATACGGTACCGTGAAGCTTAATTAAAATAATGATATTTAACTTGTAACTTGATTTGGTGATGGGCTATCAAGTTTGTTCAAATATACGACACTGCATCATGGTCATGACATACATTCAAAGTCGATTGTCAGGCGTGTTTAACTACTTGAAAAACATCTTCTAATAAACCATGAAGCCTAGAGTAACAAAATAAGTTTTTGTGAGGTGCGCTGAGGTTTGTTCAAATAAATCTATTTATAGCAGGTGGCCGCAAAAGAAAGTTAGAGGACACTGTGCCTTGCATGCGAGTGATCAGTTAAACGTATTGCCAGTGAATTTCTTGACTGATTCAATTCATTTAGATTTGACTTTAATTCTTGCCAGTGAATTTAACACATTGCCCATAGATTCAACTAATTTACAGACGGGGAACTAAATTCATCACTCAATGATACAGCACATTGCGTTAATTCCACTTATTGAAAGTTATTTTAGTGCAACTTTATGGAGCATCTTGGCTTCTAAGAATCTCCATATTGGGTGCAGTAGTCTTTCAAACTTAATAGTGGCTAGATTGATGTGTCTGGCTGTTCCTAGCATACTTAGCTGCTAACGATTATTACACAACATTATCACTAATTATAAATAATAGTCACTTCTTGGGTCTGGCATACATCTCTCATATGGGTCAATACTGATGTGCTATGGTGAACTCGCAGATTTCAAAAAATCGGCCATGAAACGGTAAGCAGTGATATTTTTAGATAAGATACTTTATGTTATCTAATCTTGTTGGGAGATGGATTACATTAAAGAAAACCCATTAATTTTGTAGTAGATTAAAATTCTATGGCTTAAGAGCAAAGTTCAGAAATCCTCTCGGGGAGCTCAACTTTTTTCACAAATGATTTGTCGGCGAATCAGAGCGTTATTGATTAAGATGTAAATGCAATCCCCTAGGATTGTGTTTGATATGTGTTTAAAACAAACTTTCATTAATCTCTTGGTAAACTTTCTCTTTTTGTCATCTCAGCAATTTGTTGACTGCATGCATAAACAAGTTTCGTAACAATGGTTTTGTTTTAATCTGAAGTAAATTTACAATAAAATTTCCCAAATTGAAAATTCAACAGAGGTGTGTCTTAATTAAAGTGATCACTTGAAAATTGGAGACACTGAAGCTTAATTATAAAATTGTTTAGTTTTTAGCTTGATTAGCCAGAAATGTTATTTACACATCATGACAATGTATAGTGTAGTATCTATGGCCCGGTTGGTTTTAAATTGAGATGATATTTGGTCCTATGGGTCAATGTCTTGCTAAAGAAGATCTTTTGAAAGGGGATGAATAAAATGTGATACAAGAAATATTTTAACTTTTTTAAGAAACATCAGGTCAATACTCATTTAATGACGTCATTTCAATTGTGACGTCACAATACTTTCTGTCAAAAGGCAGTACTCTCCTCCATAAGATTTCTTACATTCCATCTTTTTTTATGATTTAACCCTTTCACACCTATGTGACTTTAAGTAGACTCTACCATGCATTGATATGGATGCGTCCATTATGGTCTACAGTGCTGAAAGGGTTCAACATTATTTAGCACCTAACATAACAATTAAAAGATTTTTCTTTCAGTAATTGTGTGATTGAATGGACCCGAGAAAAGTGATGTTGACTTAATGCTTTGTCCTTGTCATTATCACTTTCTCCGGTCTATACAACCACATATTCACCTCAAATAAAGTCCACAAATGATAAATATTGTGCATTCAAGCTTGTATTCAGAGACAGTGTTAATTCATTCACCCCTGAAGTTTCATAATGAACTCTTCCAACCTTTGAATTGGAAGAGTTCAAATGTGTCTTCAGGGGTAAATGAGTTAAGAAAGTCCTGTGGTCTCTTAATTGACACAGGTCTGCATGGTCTCTTCATAGGAGTGACCTCTTGAGCAGGTTTGACTGTATAGAAAAGATATTGTTATAATTGTATATGTCCGCTACATTAATAATTGTTACTTTCCTGTGGAATCTTTCATAAGTGGAAATATTTTATTTGTACAGCGTTAAATTTTAGGTTTCAACATAATCAAATCTATAAAGTATTGTTTTAAAAGCAATTTAGAAAATGTATAAGGTCAATGTCATTGTTGCTAACAATACACCATGGGGTATGGCTTAGACCTTAAGCTCTGAATCTAATGACTGGTATTTTTGAAATTTGACATAATGATACATTATACACTTATTGCCCTGGTGTGAGGGAGACCTGAAGAGTTGTTTCCCTGAGATAAATCATGTTTCCCGAGAGTGAAGCCGAAGGGAAACATGATTTTTGGAAAGTTATATCACAGTCATACTCCTTGTCATTGCTCTGAAGCTGTATTTTTTGACATGAAACATATAGCAGGTATAATATTGAGCTCCAACAGGCATTGTACCTTGGTCCAGTTTGAATATGGATGTTATTTGTCAAAGATCAAGGTCACTGTTACTTAAAATAGAATTCCACTCTCACTGTCAAGGTCATATGTTAGTTAGCCATTGTATTTCTTGACAGATTTTGATGGAACATAACAGGTATATTAACCTACAGCATGCATGTACCTTGGTCAAGTTTGAATATGCGTGTAAACGGGTCAAAAGTCAAGGTCACTGTTACTTAAAATAGAATTACACTTTCACTCTCCAAGGGATCATGTTAGTTAGCGTAGAACAGGTATATTTACCTACAATATTCGATTGTACTTCGACCAAGTTTGAATATGAGTGTAATCGGGTCAAAGGTCAAGGTCACTGTTACTTAAATGGAATTCCAATGTCACTCTCTATGTGATTCGATCATGTATGTCGCTGTATTTCTTTACAGATTTTGATTTAAAACTAAACAGGTGTTCTTAAAGAAAGATGTTTAACTCATTCACCCCTGAAATTTCACAATGAACTATTCCAACCTTTGAATTGGAAGAGTGTAAATGTGTCTTCAGGGATGAATGAGTTAAGGCTCCTATTCTTCTTCAGTTAAACTAAGACAAAATTATGTACATCTTTATCATTTGACATCGCCGTTCTATTTATATGTGACATTATCATGGCAGTGACTATTTGTAATCACTACCAATGTATCAAAAACAAGGAAGAGTCAATTAACAGTTGATATTTTATGTTTGTCCATAAATACAACAATATATCAATACAATTATGATTATGATACAATCAATATACTCATATATTTCAATTAAAACAAGGTCTTAATTATTATATTTTATTTCTTAAATATACAGATAGTAGATTTTAATAAGAGGACATGAGTCTGCAATGATTGAAGTTTGACTGAAACTTCTCATGGAAATTGGAAGAAAAAAAATCAAACTTATATTGCAAAATAAAATACGATCATGTCAAATGGAGTAATGATACATTTGAGAATGTCTACTGCTTAAACCAGCAGCTGGTCATTTCTGGTGCTGTTAGGACTGAATGATTTTAAAAACTCAAAAGCATCATGGGGAAAGTGTTTTCGAAAATGAAAATGAAAGGTGGGCATATTGGTATAGATGTTCAAGCAATGAGTTAAATCTGAATCAAGCTGATGTTTGTTACAGATATACCGAACAGTATTCAAAACAAAAATGAAATTATCAGAGTCAGAAGGATGTTTGTTGTAGGTGCACTGAACGGTGTTCACAAAGTCACTTACTCTTCACCGTCTGATGACATCTGATGAGAATTGCAATGGTCAAAAAAATTCTACTGACAGATACAACATGGCGTCCGTCAGAAAAGTTGCTAAGCCGACATGACAAGCAAATATTATCATATATAGCACCAACATTTTGGAAAACACTTGAGTTTCCAAAATCATTCATGTGTATTTTGCTCTGGTACACGATCTGATGGAGTTTTGTCATCGTAGCAAATATTCTAGTTACATTTTTCATTCTTAAATATTGGTAGCAGTAATAAACATTTGAAAATTGGTGAATATTTTACAGTCTTCAGATAACCATTGTTTCATTGGCGATCAAATTAACTTTTGCTAATATAAAAAAAAAAAATCCTAAGAGGGACGCCAGTGTTTCACATGTTTACTTCCACACATATACTGGAATCCATTCATTGATATTTTTTTCCAGAAATGTTTTGACTCTTTTTAAATAACTCATTCTTTTTTGTTGGAAACATGATATGTCTATATTTTTAATGTGACAATAAAAATCAGTATTTACTTTAGTGATCGTTTGTGGAATTCAAGTGAATGATCGTTAGATAGACACATACCACATTTTTGACACACAGTATCCATCTGTCATACCATCTAAGTAGATCTAATTATGGCAAAAAAAAAAAAAAAAACCTTGACCTGAAAGTACTGTAAAAGTCTCTGTTTTCGTGGTCTCTAATTTTTGTGGATTTGCTAAAATGGTCAGCTTCATAGGATCTATTTTTAGCAGATTTCAAGTTTAAGAGCCAATCGCACAAAATGCTATATGGTGATGAGGGTTTAATGTGCTTTCTATTTTTCATGGCAAAATTGTTACTGCAGAAACCGCGAAAATTACAGCCCTTCGAAAATACAACCTTGACAGTATATAAAGAAGCTTAATTAGTACAATATGGGTTCAATTAAATAGGGATTAATTCACAAAGAGAGTGATGTATCACTATGATTTCCTTGAATTTACTCACACACATATGATATTCACTTTCCCATTCTGGCGATATCTTCCGTTCTGGCATACATAATTTGTATTGAGAAATAAATAAAACTCTTATCAAGTCTAACATTGTACCCATTGTCAATGTAACCGATATCACAGGGTAATAATTGTCACTATCACATGCAAACACCACTTGATCAAAAAGCAGTTTGATTGTTGAGCCTTGATTGAAAACCAGATAATCTGCAGACACACCGATATATAGTCATTGTTATGTAGGAGTACCGGCTTAATAACATGTGTAAAATATTTTTTGTACCAGTGACTCAAAATGTGTGTCACTGTGTGAGTTCATACAGGTGACTCGATCAAAACATGTATTAATTTGAAAAAAGAGTATTATATATTTAACTCGCATTGTGTAGGTGTGTTTTAACAGGGGACTCAAAATGTGTGTCAGCTAAAATAGGTGGCTCAAATGTTTGTGTCTGTTTTAACCGGTGACTCAAAATGTGTGTCGCTGTACAGCTGACTCTCAATGAGTGTGTCTGTATAGATGATTGAGTTACAATGTTTGTGTTTACAAAGGAGACTCATCAAGTTTATACGAGTAATTGTCATCCTGAATACTGCTTTGTGGAGACATTCAACAACTGATTTACAAAATGAACTTTTGTAGAAAGGAAACACATTGTAGTGCCAATGTGGTGCACCAGGTCTTTCACTCACAGTGGGGTCGTCTCTGTGCAGGCGTCCATTTCTACCTGGGTGGCACTACTCTGGGACCCGACCTGGAGTTCGTAGATACGACTTTGGTGGCGGAAACACAATTTTGAAGTCAGAATGTCAACAAACTCGCCACGGAATGTCCTAGAGAAGAGAAGGCACAGACAGAACAGTATAACAGTGTTGACCCAGGCCATGAAATATGTCGCGACTCGGGCACGCTCCATTTGAACCATTAAAGCACCGTCCTGCAGCCACGATGGCGGAAATGTCTTGTTAATGATGTTCATCACAGTCGGGGGTAGCACTAACAGGAAGTAGATTGTGGACAGTGCTAATGTGGTGTGAGTAAGCACCATCTGGTGGGGACCAAGGTTGTGGCTATGCTTGACCGGTCGCTTAAGACAGAGTCCCGCTACAATAAGGATGTTAAAAATGAAGAGAAGCGCGAGGGGGATAAACGAGTAAAACGAGGCAGACATCCATGGCCAAATCATGGCGTGGATATCATTCTCATTGTGGAGTGGGTAGCAATGGTTCATTAGTTCGTACGTCCACATGGCGTGGATACTGACCACTACAAGGCCCACAATGATGATGACCGCCGCAAATTTAGCCATGAAAATAGTACACATTGACGACACCTTCCATGGGTGCCAGATAATGATGTACCGGTCAATCACCATGGCAACAACAAACCAGATTCCAGAGTACGATATCACGCGCATTATAAACTGCCACAATCGACACAACCAATCAGATCGGTTATCTATTGTTTTCTCATCAGCCACCTCGGCAATCCACTCGGAGCCCAGAAACAGATAGAGAGTCAGGAGATTGGCTATGGCGTAGGACGACATGTAAAAACTGATTGAGTAGGGTTTGAACGTTTTCTGGTGGAGCACAATCAGTGTGATAATGTTGCCAATAGATCCTATGAGAATCAGTATCGGCGGCATGTAGAAAGTGAAAATAGTGTTGAGGCTCTGCATTTCTAAGTAACTAGCATCGTAATCACTGTACGCGGGATTATTGTAGTCCGTTCGGTGGTCCGAGGAATTGAATGAGAGATTGTTGTTGTTACTGTCAACCACGCTGGCCTCACTCATTAGACCATAGTGCTCAGCAATCGCAACAGAATTGGACATGGCTTATTAGTTTCCGTCTCCAATGTGGCTTGAAATGTCTCTGGAATGTATTTCGCATATGCGGGGGGATAATTTCCCGGTGACGAGCGAAGCTGTCTGAATTGAGGTACTCAAACTGTTGAACAATTCATAGCACTGCCACTAGAATAATAATCACAGATTTACCACACGTTCCCTTAGAAAGATGGGCATGCAAAATGTCGTTGGTTACAACTTACATCTCGCTGTTTCATTTAGTGATTAGAGACCGGACAGATATTGATCTTGTTGTCATGAAAGCCGAATTGTGAACTGTCACAGAATCTCAAGATTATCTCGAAACCTTGAATAAGGATTGTATGTATATGTATGTAGCTGTTCAATAAATTACCGTTCCTTTTTTAATGGAACAATTCCCAGGAAGCTGTTTGAGATATAGGTCAATCCTATTCCTTTGTCAATCCGTCATACAAGGGCTGTCAACGCTGGAGGTAACGTGTAACGTTTCCGTTACTTGACACGTGATGGGAATTGACCAAGACTTACAAATCCCCGCACGTTTGAAAGTTGTGCCGGTTTCCGTTGAGTGGATTGGGTCTATAGTTGACCTAACTCCTGCCCTAACCTTTCCGGCTGTTAGTTGACAAGGTGCTGATCATGTTGGTCATTATAAGTTTTGTTTATAAATCTCTTCTTTATATATTCCTGCAAATAAAAATAAAAGTATATGAAATTTTACAGAAACAATGTTTTTTTCCGATAAAATTTTGAACTGAAATATTAGCTTTAAAGTGTCATAGCTATACATTGTTTCTTTCCTCTGAATGGTTCATTAATTAAAACCATCAGGGACACAATGTAATATTAATTCAGAAAAGTTATTGATTTTCACAGGGGCAAACATTTCTCATTTTAAAAATTCAAATATTAAAAGACTGAAAATAAAATTTCTGGTGACCCCCCCTCCCCATAGAGTTTTGGGATCTGCTATTGAACTCGTAAAAGAGAAATTTTCTATATATTTTTTTTTTTTTTTTTTAATATAGATAAAAAAATCTTTTTTGAAAACAATTTGACAATTCATTTATCTTTGATTTTTGGGGGGAATTAGAAAATAAGGAATTTATTTTTACAATATGTTTGTTTTGAAATTTTATATTTACTGGTAAAAATGTATTAAAAGAAGATTATAATTGTCTTCACCCCTTAGAGTAATATATACTAAATAATATCTATCTCATCGAATCTTAAACACGTACAGAACTATTTCTGTCTTACGTATACATGATTATTTCTGTCCCGGGGAATGGTATAATAGACATTCGTGTAAATGGTATGTAATTATTCCAAACCCAGCGGCAATGCTGGCTATGCATGTTAGATAGGGACATTTTACTGTTAGCAAACCTCAGTACATAGGCAGGCATCACAATAACAAAACCAAAATCATTTCGTGATGGTAATTTCTTTTCTCGCGCGTCTAGCACCTAATCAGGGGGAGTACACACACCACGTTCTCTGTAGCATTTGGTTAGGGGACCAAGTCAGCTACGGAAATCCACTTCTTTTGGAATAATTGCTCTATAAATAGTTCATTCCTCCAATAATCACCTGTATCCCTACTTTGAAGCCAAAATTGCTAAAACACTGGGCATTGTGTATTTAAAGTTTGCGTGTAGTTTTCAAAAAATTCTAGGTAATAGCCTCTCCTTTTCCCCCAAAGCATTTCATCTAGACTTAAAATTACTATAATCAAGAAAAATTTCATATGCAAAGATCAACTTCTGCATGGCCTTGCAATTTTCCATTATCAGGTTTTCAGAACACTTAAATATAAGCATCTCCCGGCCATTTTCCAATTTGTTATACATATCAGTCTGTATCAGTTTGATACTTAACATCCTGCTTCGCTTACCCTTGAATACAGATTTGATTTAATCATCCAAAAGAGCATGATTTCAAGAGTAACTCTGTAACTTGGATTTTGTTTAATGGAAGAGAGTCCACTATACAGTCAATTGAATAGAAGGATATAAAGCAATGTATATCGCTCAAACTGTATTTTGCTTTCAGTTCTTTTACTTTCTGCTATTTTCGGATTAAACCAATTTTTTATTATCATTTCTAATTAAGTGCCCTTACTGACCTAACCGTCCTAATTAAATCCCAAAACTCAACATATAAACTAAACAATAGCACAGAGTATATGACATCAAATATAAGTGCTGCCATTGAACCTTTAAGTGCTGCTCTACCACATAACTGGGAATTGATTAAAAATGTTCCAACTGAGACTCTTAACTCACTCACACTTGAAGACACATTTGAACTGTTCCAACCAAAAGGTTGGAACAGTCCATTATGAAATTTCAGGGGTGAATGAGTGTAAAGGCCTTTTACATGTAATTGTCTTAGTACGAATATAAAGGAAACAACTTAATTCTAGCACAACAAACTTTTTAAGGCCTGTACACTGTAGAAAAGTGGATGAACACCCTATGTTTAATGCTTCATGTTGGTATGATATCCAAATCCCATGTTTATTTCAGTACAAAGCTTTGAAAGTGAGATCCCAAAATAAAGGCTAAGCTTGTTTTGAACACAAACAGGAATTGAAAACTGATCTTGCAAACTTTCGTAAACGTTTATTTCTGTTGTCCAGCAAATAGTGTAAATGGCCAGTGTCTCGACTCTTTACGGCTGAAAACAACTCACCAAGCCATATTGTGCCAAATCATTAAAGTCAGCTGTCAATTAATTATCATGGAGATAAATATTTCGTCCAGTAGCTCTCTAACACTGCAGGCAAACAGAGGGTTGGGTAACATGTTGACCTATTCCTCCCCTTTGTGGATGTTAAAATGGGGGTTGTAACGATCCCAAATGTTTCTCTCATCGATTATTGTATAAAATATATAAGAAGATAAAAATGTTCGAAGCTAAGTCTTGATAATCTCTTATTGTTCCCCACACAACTGGTTGGATCCCAACTTATGACAGCTGGATTACTGGTATAATGTTTTATAGAAAAAGTGCAAATCAGTTTCCTAAAACAGCCACAGACTGGGCTGGGTGAGGAGTTACCAGATTAGTTGTGGCTTAATATCAATGAGATTTGCTTGTAAATATAGTGACACCTGTCTATTCTGACATTATGATGGACATAATATAGTGGTCAGATTAGGCTTGGTGTCAATACAAGGGTAACATTCTGGTAGTATTTCATGAGAAATAGGATTCCAGCATTGTTAGATTAGGCATGACACCAGAATATAAGGGTTATATTTGATAGTTTTTGTAAGAAATTGGGTGGCTTTATGTTAGATTATACAGGATGTCGGAATATTCAGGGGTCAGATTGGACAGTTTTCACTGTATTTTAACAAATGTTTCATATGATTTGTTTTTAACAGTAACTGTCTTGAAGATATAATTATTCCCATTTATTTTACATTATTAAAGAAAAATTTCCAAAATTTAGTTTCTAAATATTAACTCTTTCACCCCATGAGCACATTTGAACTCTTCCAATTTAAAGGTTGGAATAGTTCATTATGAAATTTCAGGGGTGAATGCCAGTTAACTTATTCACCCCTGAAGTTTCATAATGAACTATTCCAACCTTTGAATTGGAAGAGTTCAAATGTGTCTTCAGGGTTGAATGAGTTAATACCTGTTAATAATGTTGTTATGATACCACAGGTGCTATTGTTGAAGATGTTATCAATGACGTCAATGAGATGTTTTTTTTAATATATGTAGGAGTATATTGACACTGAAAATTGTTCTCATGTAAAAATTATAAAAGAAATTTGACAGATTTTTGAAACGCAATACCTGTTTGTATTTGCCAGTGTTGTCTCTTGTTTATATTTTCTGATGTCCATGTCTATGAAAACTAGAATATCATTTGCTTAACATTTTATTTTTACAATTGTGAGACACTTTTATCCCACCTTGTTTTAAGCTCACCAAGCCCTACCTGTCGTCTGCCGTCCGTCTGGCATCAAGTTTTTTACTTTTGAACAACTCTTCTGAAACCACCAACAGCCCTAGCGTGATATTTTAAAATTTGTTTGACTACAAATCCTGACCTACTGATGGCATTCACATCCGAACGTTTTTTCACAAAATATTTACTCAACTTAACCCTTTCACCCCTATGTAACTTTAGTAGACTCTACCATGCATTGATATGGATGAGTCCATTATGGTCTACAGTGGTGAAAGGGTTAATAGTGTGTATCTGCAGAGCTAAAAAATGTAAACAAGATTAGGGGTTTCCTCCATGGTAGTGGAACTTAGGTTATGATTGTGTTGTCAGCCAAAACTGAATTCTCCCGGGATAACATTTAGGACTACTATAATATGTCACAAATGTTCCAGAGACATACGAGGAAGCTGATTTTATCCCGAAACATTTCTTACATAAAAGGATCGTAGCTGGATCAGATTGTGTAGCTCAGAACACAGACCTTATTATAATAACTCTAGGGAGTTAATCTAACTTAATATTTCTCCAACGTTTCTTTTCGTATTGATGCCTGCAGAAGAGCATAAAGTAGAAAACATTCTTTATCTAGAAAAAATAGTTCTTTTTGTGGAATAAGATAAAACGTACGATACCCATAGGGCCAAAATGGACGATAAAATAGACCTAATGTATTTCCTGGAAGCTCATATATCGCTTTGTTGTATAGCCAGTTCCGTTATCTTATGCATTCAGTAATCTCGTGTCTCAATATCTGAACATATTTGAAATTCATTTATCAAAATAAACTTATTAAAATAGCGTTTAAATAAAGTATATACATTTTGATCCAATATAGATTTTAAATGAATCAGTTTGGATTTTTTTTCCTCTCACAAGAACGTTTTTTTTCCATAGACGTGTATGATACGTACCTGGCCAATAGTGTCAGGCTGAATATGGATGTGGACAAAATCTTACTTTGTAATGAGCAAAACAATTTTTAAAATGTTTGCATCAAAATTGTTTTATACTGGTTAAATAAAACGGGGATGCAGACTTGAAATATAAGAGTTCTGATTGAAAATTGCTCTAAAGAGGTTTACAGTTTGCCGAAAGGTTAGTAATAATCTACAGAGAGGAATGATATAATACTGTTTACCTTAATTCGCTCAGGCAAACTTTCGCCCTACGCTGGTTAAACCCAGATTCGCCCAATGTTGATTTTTGCCTTTCACGTTTGATTACTATGTTAATTATTTTGTTTACTAATGTTAGCTGAAATGATAAATTAGCCCTGACAACACAGAGAGTGAAAAAGATGAAAGTTAAATTCTGGTGGAAATTTACCGGTATACAGTATATTTCATTTGGCCTAATATCCTGTAGTTCTCTGTGATTAGTGGAAGTCCCTGAGGATATACAATTCAGCTTTTCACAGCTAGTCCTCAACCTGTGAGGTGACTGGGGACTATTGACACAGTAACCCAACCTTGCTCACCAAAGGGACGTATTTGACCACTCCGCGAACATAACACTTTATATTCCATTTAGCTAAATATTGAATCGTGAAATAAGAGTCTTGATTCATTCGTACATGTGAATGGTATAGGTGTGAGAATATATACGGACCTCTTGACACACATTGCTAGAGTTACATACACTGATTACCCTAAGGGGCTTCATTAGCAACTCTATACACATCTACAGCGTGAGTTACCCACAGACAGTACCAGTTAACCCGAGACAACTTCAGCCTATTTACCCTCCCACATCAGCTATCCTCCGAGAGTCACATTACATCAGGTATCCTCAAGCATGAGCTGCAATGAAATGCTTAATCACCAACCCCCAAACATCATACCTAGACAGACAACATCAGTTACATCAACAGACATCATCTTCCCGCAGACATTGTCGGCATGAGTTACCCTCAGAGGCATCAGAAGTTTCCCCAGAAATTATCACCAACCCGCAGACATCATACCTAGACAGACAACATCAGTCACATCATCTTCCCGCAGACATTGTCGGCATGAGTTACCCTCAGAGGCATCAGAAGTTTCCCCAGAAATTATCACCAACCCGCAGACATCATACCTGCAGACAACATCAGTAATAGCAATTGCAGACATCACCTACCCTTTGATGTTGTCTGCACATACCCTCCCAGGCATCACAAGTTTCCCCCAGGCATCATCAGCAACCCTGAGACATCATTAGTTATCCCATAGACATCACCTACCCCCAGACAACATCAATGATCCAGAGAAAAATAATCACTTTCTAGCATAGACATTTAACCCTCTCACCACTGTAGACCATAATGGACTCATCCAGGTCAATGTATGGTAGAGTCTATTCAAGTTAGATAGGGGTGAAAGGGTTAAAGCTATCCCAAGAAAAAGATAATCTCTTACCCCATAGCTGTCGTAATGGTGCACCCGTAGACATTGTCACCCATGACCATGGACCTTATCAGCTGCTCCCATAGCACCATCACCCATGTCCATGGACCTTATCAGCTGCTCCCATAGCACCATCACCCATGTCCAGGACCTTATCAGCTGCTCCCATAGCACCATCATCCATGTCCATGGACCTTATCAGCTGCACCCATAGCACCATCACCCATGTCCATGGACCTTATCAGCTGCACTCATAGCACCATCACCCATGTCGTTGGACCTTATCAGCTGCACCCATAGACATCAAAGCTACACCGACAGACATTTAACTCATTCATCCCTGAAATTACATAATGAATTATTCCAACCTTTGAATTGGAAGAGTTCAAATGTGTNGCAGATTTTTATCAGCTGTTCCAATGGGCAATGTCAGCTGCTGACCCAATAGATCTATATGTAACACTTCTTCATTTCAGACAGTTCTACCTTGGAATATTGCACAGTAGAACCAGTATATTGTACTCGGACGTACAAGAAACCATTCAGAATTGCCACAACTAACCCTTAATGCTTTCTCTGCATGTCGATATTCAAAACTTTTTCTCTTGTACAGTATTCAAAACTGTTTTTTATGAGCTTGACTGCCAGTAGTCAACTAAAAAGCTAGCTTTACAAGGAGTCGGTGATTCATTCTATCTGGAAAGATGAAAAAACTTTGCACCCTTTAATTTCTCTGAAAACCTTATTATATAATCCCTACAAGCAGAGCACTGGCGGATCCAGAGGTTTTTTCGGGGCTTCAGGAACCCTCCACCCAGAGAATTTTCTTTAGGAATCATGTATTTTCACTATTTTCCTCAATTTTCCCCCACTTGGAAACCCCCCCCCCCCCCCCCCNTTGAAATTTGGAAAAAAAAAACCAGATAGGTTTCTGGATCTGCCACTGCAGGGATAGACAATAAGGCTATACTCTTGGATTAAAGTTAAATCTCTAACTAGACTAATGAATCTCAAAACTGTTCCCGATTAACTTGTCAGAATTCCATATTACTTATTATGTTTTATATAGTACATTAAATTGTATTATAGTAAAGTTGGAAACTAAACTAGCCCGACTGACTAATGATAATTAAAATTAATTAGTTGCCCTGGATTAAAAGTTTGTGTAGAAAACGCTGTAGATAACATGTGTTTGATGACGTGTCTAAATATTACAACAGGTCCTAAAAAAGATGTTTAATTGAAAATTACTTACCTCCAGGCAAGACAATAAAATCCCATTATATCAGAAAATGATGTGTTGCGTTTAAGTTTTTCCACTCACACAAAGGCAGAGCAACTTTCCAATCAGAACAGAAAATTAAATATTTTACGATGCGATGGTTTAAACAAGATCCCAATTATAACCAAAAGTTAAAGGTTTTAAAATGGTTAAAAATCCTCACTTTCACAAAAGGCGGAACAACTTCCCAACATTACCAAAAGTTAAACATTTCAAAATAGTTAAAAAATTCTCACTATCAAAAAGGCGCGAAAAACATCCCAATCATATCGGAAAATAAGTTGTATGTACCTGATCATAACAGAAAAATATTTGTTACAATGGTTAAAAAATTCCTCGCTTTAAATATCCCTCATAGCACAGGAAGAATCAACATCTCCACAATCTAATCGTGACAGCAAAATACATGGCAAGTTAATATCAAATATCCCCATTGGCCCAACAACCTAGTGTTACCTAGACTACAAACCTTATCTGTGCTACACAATTTCTACTCTTGATTACAGCCATAAGTCTTTCAACGTGTATTCATAAAAAATAATATAATCACCGATGCCCGCTGGAGATATGTAGAAATACTTACCTCCATCACGTAAGCGTGTAAAAGGGGATCACATCACACGTTTTATCGTAACTATACCAAGTTTCCTCCTTCGCTCGACCGTAGCGTTAATATCATACCACAGCTAGGAGATCTGTGCTGATAGGCGGACTGTGTTAAACTTACCGATTGAAATGTTAGCACACTGTAGTGTGTTTGCTGCTGAGTGCTGGCGTTCCAGGCTCTAATACTGGAAGCTTCAGGGCTGCCTAAGATATATATATATATATATATATGATGTACTAGCTATATGTAGAGTGATAAGGTTTTTTTATCCAGTTCCTCTCATAGCTTAATCCACATCTATTTGTTTCTGTGGAATATTGTCGAGTGGTCACTGTGAGCACCGTGTTTTTAACAGCTATAATATCTAAACATTAACAGTGCCGTACAAAGGTTGTTATGTTAAAAACAACTAACAAAGATGTGAAACACTCATGGTGGTCCTCGCTATTGTTGTAGAAAAGCCATTTCTGTCCATTGTGTATTGGCTGATGGCATTTTGTAACTGGTTATACTGTTGTTTAGTAAAAAGTACGGAGATGACCTTCTGCTACTCATAGAATTGTTCTGAAGCCAGTGTGCCCTATAAAGTAGAAACGTATCTACAAAATGTTTGAATTATGATGATTCAAATGGGTTGTTTACTTTGTATATACCAGGTAATGTTAATCTTTTGTCAGTAAATAAAAATCAAAAAAATTCTGTTTAGTGGAGCAATACACCTCAAATTTGACTTGTTACATCAATCGTTCCTGCGGTATAACTGGATAAATTTCAAATGTGGCTGTTGTCCTATAGTTGTCGATTACAGCCTCCCTCAAACTGAAATGAGTTTGTCACTCCTGTGTCACTTACGATACAAAGTTTTGTTATAATCTTTGAAACATCCATTAAGACAATGTAACCTCCTTTGACATGTAGCGATAAGAACTTCTTGTAAATCACAATTATTTTTTTAGAAATTTTGTTCCTTGACGACTGGATGTAAAATCTTCAAATGTGATTTATAATGCATACAGACCCCAAATTTCTGTAGTGCAAGTCGTATGTGTTCAACCACACCTGTTAAATTGGCAGGCTAAATTGCTTTACGGTGAACTTTTAATTCTCCGTGAATTTTGTCAACCAAGTGCTTACGATAATCTTGTCCTCCAGGGTTTTTTGAATTGACGCTGGTTAATGCTCATTTAAATTACATATCGTATGTATGATAATGTGACATTTTCACACAACGCTCTGTATATTTGTATAGATCGCAAAATCTTCAATACTTTGACTATCGAGAAGTTGGCCTGTAATAGCAATAGACGGCCAATACCTATTGAGGAATTTGTCTCTCCATACAGACCTGCTTCTTATGTATTCTTGATATCCGACGAATTATCCAATGTTAGTATCAATTACAGGGTATTTCCACTAAACTGTTTCCTTTCCCTTGCTATAAAGGTAATTTTATCCCAAACGAGTTAAAGGGTTTATGTGAACGTTACGCGAATGTTACGTCATGTTTGGTGACATTTAACGCGTTAGTGTACCTCTAAACAGAGCACTGTTGCGTCGGGATCTGTAGTAAGCACAGTTTTATAGCGTGTCCACAGTGTTTCGCGACTGTCAGAAAGCCGGTGCTGATTATGGTGCAGGCCAGCACTGGATGATTGATCAATACAACTTGCCTATATAATAGGAACGGCACTAAAGAGGGAGGAGCTTGTTAAACTGGGGTGTGGGTTTACAGAGCAGGGAGGGGCTAATACAATAAGGAATGGCTTCCATAGCATAGGGGTGCCTTTTGATATACTAGGGGTTTCATAAGTGGGCAGGTGTTACTACATAGGGGTGTAGAGGGGAGGGTCATTTACATAGGTGTTTCTTAAGTGTTTGTGTGTTTGAAGGGGGGG